ATAATTTGTATCCTTTTTAACTGGTTAAAAGATAGGAAACAAAGGGTAGGAATAAATGGTCAGTTTTCAGAATGGGGAGAGGTAAATAGTGGTTTCCCCCTGTGGTCTGTACTGGGACCAGTCCTATTCAACATATTCATAAATGATCTGTAAAAAGGGGTAAACAGTGAGGTAGCAAAATTTGCAGATGATACAAAACTACTCAAGATAGTTAAGTCCCAAGCAGACTGCGAAGAGCTACAAAAGGATCTGAAAAAAATGGGCAACAAAATGGCAGATGAAATTCAGTGTTGATAAATGTAAAGTAATGCACATTGGAAAGCCTAATCCCAACTATACATATAAAATGATGGTCTAAATTAGCTGTTACCTTTTAAGAAAGAGATCTTGGAGTCATTGTGGATAGTTCTATGAAAACATCCACTCAATGTGCAGCAGCAGTCAAAAAAAGCGAACAGAATGTTGGGAATAATTAAAAAAGGGATAAATAATAGGACAGAAAATATCATATTGCCTCTATATAAATCCATGACATGCCCACATCTTGAATACTGCATGCAGATGTGGTCACCCCATCTCAAAAAAGACATATTGGAATTGGAAAAGGTTCAGAAAAGGGCAACAAAAATGATTAGGGGTATGGAACAGTTGCCGTATGAGGAGAGATGGGACTTTTCAGCTTGGAAAAGAGATGCCTAATGGGGGATATGATAGAGGTCTATAAAATCATGACTGGTATGGAGAAAGTGTTATTTACTCCTTCTCATAACACAAGAACTAGGGGTCACTAAATGAAATTAATAGGCAGCAGGTTTAAAAACAAACAAAAGAAAGTATTTCTTCACAGAACGCACAGTCAACCTGTGGAACTCTTTGCCAGATGATGATGTGAAGGCCAAGACTATAACAGGGTTCAAAAAAGAAGTAAATAAATTCCTGGAGGATAGATCCGTCAATGGCTATTAGCAAGGAGGGGCAGGGAACGGTGTCCCTAGCCTCTGTTTGCTAGAAGCTGAGAATGGGCGACAAGGGATGGATCACTTGATGATTACCTGTTCTGTTCATTCCCTCTGGGGCTCCTTGCATTGGACACTGTCAGAAGACAGGATACTGGGGTAGATGGACCTTTGGTCTGACTCAGTATGGCCGTTCTTATGTTTTTTGCACTGGGGTAAATGTTCCACAAGGTGCAGGGCAACAGTGAATCGAGCCTCCAGCCCCCACCCCACGTAACACAACTCTTACCCGGTAATCCGCCTTGCAGGAAGTAGCAGGTCTTGTGCATCTTCCCCATGAATAGCTCCAGTCCAATGATGGCATAGATAATTATGACAAACAGCACCAGCAGGGCAATGTGCAGTAAGGGGACCATAGCCTTGATAATGGAATTTAAAACCACTTGGAGACCTGCAGGGAGGGAAGAAGGCAACACTATCAATAAGAGAACAAGCCAAAGCTAATAGAGCCATCGAGGACTGTAAACTGCAGACAAATGCTTCATTTGTATTGGGCATATAAAACCAATCCCCCTCCCCCAGCATTTGATAAACTGATAATAGTTACTTACATTTATACAGCACCTTTCATCCAGAGGGAGCCCAGAGTATTCTACAAACTTACCACAGCAAACCTGACTTACAAAGTAAACTACTGAAGGGATCGCTTCACCTACCACTGAATGCTACCACCTCTGGGATGGAAAACAGCAGCTGTTTCTGCAGATTCCCAAAAATCAGTTATAAGGCGTTCCTCGGGGGATATATGTGAGAGAAAAGGGGTAAAAAGAACAAGAGAAACAAATCCAGAACTCAGCCAGAAGAGCAGCAATGGGTAACACCAGTGAGCCAGATGCCTGGAACTAGCAGAGCAGTTCTTGCAGTGTGGAGAAGGAAGATAGCGTCAAGGCTCCTTTCTGCTCCCCAATTCTTAGTCTGACTGGGGGCCAAACCAATCTCTGGCACAATTTAAAGCAATCTAAGGGCCACCCTAGATTATGTTGACTAGAGTGATCCTTTAAAGACTGCTCTGCTGGCTGAAGATTGCCAAAGCACCCTGCACTTCATCTTTGCCCCGTCCTTTCAGCCTGACAAGGAATGCTCTCTACTCCTATTGGATGAGACAGAACTTGGTGCTGGTTTTATGTCACCTGGGCCTTCCCTCTACAACAGGGGAATCCCCAGATGCTGTGTCAGGGTAACTCTTTGTCCTCTTTACCAACAGAGATGAAAGGTGAGAATTTTTATTTATTTATTTTAAACACACACAGAGGGAAGAAGACTGATTCTGTGCTTAAGGCATAGGTGCTGACTCTGTAGGTGCTCCAGGAAAAATTAGTGGGTGCTTAGCACACATTGGCAGCCAAGCTCTCCCTAGGGTGACCAGACAGCAAGTGTGAAAAATCGGAACAGGGAGTGGGGGGTAATAGGAACCTATATGTGAAAAATCGGGACAGGGAGTGGGGGGTAATAGGAACCTATATAAGAAAAAGACCCAAAAATCGGGACTGTCCCTATAAAATCGGGACATCTGGTCACCCTAGCTCTCCCTCTCCCCCCTGTGCCTCCTGCCCACCGGTGGCTTTGCTGATCAACTCCTCCCCCTCAGCACTCTTGTCCACCTCTGGAAGGGGGTGGAAAGAGGCAGGGAAGAGGCGGGGCAGGGACTGGAAGAGGCGGCGCGGGAAGAGGCGGCGCGGGGGTGGGGTGAAGGGGTGGAGTGGGGGTTAAGCACTTCCTGGGACAACTGGAAGCCGGCGCTTGTGGGTCTGGGAATCAAGAAATCTGGGTTCAGGGTTCTGGTTCTGCCATAGAGTACGACAGTGGGAAGTTACTTATGGGCTGATTTGCAGAGGGTGTTGAGCATCCTTAACTCCATTGGAAATTGATGGGACCTGAAGGTTCTCAGCACCTTGGACTTCTCTGTGCTTCAGTTCCGCCACTTCTAAAACATGAACAATAATATCTACATCACAGGAACGCTGTAAGGTTACTGGAAATTCACTAATGTTTACAAAGTTAAAAAGCCTCATTTGGATGGTGAAAATACAATAAATAGCACAACATTATTATGCTATTAATGTTGGAGCGCGGAGAGGGTTCCCAATGGACGTCTTAAGTATCTACTATCCTTCAGCTGAGAAACAGCCAGTTCACAATTATAAGCTCCTTAGGGTTTGCAATAGCTGTTAGCCTTGAATTAACCCATTCATGTCTCCTACAAATTCTGTCATTTTATCAAAGAAGTTGATATTAGCTGTGATTTCTGAAACATGTGATTCGAGCTGTAAATGTCTGCTAGCAAGTGAGTTTGCAATAACCATTAACTTTTCAAATCTATTGTCTGAGATCTAGGCATTTTAATTTTTACTACTGTTTTAACAACTAATTTAAATGCATTCTAATGATGATACTACATTTCTTAATAAGCATTTTCACACTTATGTACAAACACTGACAGCAGACTGAGTCTTCTAATTTGCTCACCTGATCATCCCAGCACCTAGTAAGAATGACCAGAGAAGATGTCAATAGTCAGGCTAATTGGATGGTTCATTCACTTGTAGTAACCTGAGTCAGCTGTCAATATCACTATACTGATACCATTTTCAGAGAGCACTTCTTGAGTGGTTATAGTCACTTGGTTTACAGTTTTATGATTCACACCCACTCCTAAGGTGTACTGTATTCAGCATGGAATACCCTGCTTCTCATATAGTAATCCGTAAATGAAATACAATATTGATGTTATCAGATGTTCACCTCACACTAGAGAAGGATGTCCTGCCAGCTCAGTTGTGGCATTCCCACTGGGGATTAGCTATGGATGGGTAGCCATGCTCAGGAGGAAAATATGGCTATGACCACCTAAAAGATCAGTTATTTTCTGAGCCAGTCAGAGATGATTTTCTTTTCTCTGATTGCTCATTTTGTTCACCCTACCAGTCTGAATTACCTGCACATACAGAAAATTAACTGTAGTCCAGGTCAGAGAATGATGCTAATTTATTCCAGACAAAAATTTCATCCCAAATATTTTTAGGAGTCTCACAGTAAAATAAAAACCACTTTCCCACTCCACAATGTAAGATCACTACATGGGAAATGGCAGAGAGAGGTCTGAACCAAACCCTGAATTTATCTAATTCCAACAATTTTATGAAACTTCAGATTTGGATCCAAAATTTGTGGGTTTATAATATCCTACAAGTAAGCAAATGAAGTTCTTAATTGTCAATGACTTTAGAGGCCTCCCCAGTCCTAAATGTAGTCAAGACATGGAGGTCAAGTATTATAAGACCCTAGTCTCATATTATTAATAATTAACTATTATTTTATTAATTTATTTAACATTCATATGAGGATTTCCCCAAAGCATTTGAGAGAGTATTAAAGATAACCATGATGATGGATAAAAAGTGCTGTCTTTTTAAACATACAAAAAGCCACTCCATTAAAGTGCTCAAGTGTACTGCAGATATACAGGGTAGACAATGTCAATTCAAACCATTGCACCCTTTGTTAAAGTGGTGACTA